GAGGGTGCTGAGGCGCTGGCACAGGGTGCCCAGAGAAGCTGTGGCTGCCCCATCCCTGGCAGTGTTCAAGGCCAGGTTGGACACAGGGGCTTGGAGCAACCTGCTCTAGTGGAAGGTGTCCCTGCCCGTGGCAGGGGGTTGGAACTGGAGGAGATTTAAGGCTCCTTCCAACCCAAACCAGTCTGTGATTCTGTGGTCTTTTGTTGTACTTGCATGGGCTTAATTCCAGATCGTTATACCTTTTGGTAATGGGGAAAACCCTGTAGTCATAACATCATCCCGTAGAATAATTTATCTCTAAATACACAACTGTGGTATTAGATTTCTGGCTTTGTATAACAATTTTGTGTGGCCCATAAGGTGTGAAGGATGACTTCCAGTATTTACCTCAGGTTTTCCTCGTGTGTTTCAGCAATCTGAGTGAGTATCACTTGAAAAGTATTCAGAGCTTCAGAAGTTGTTATTCCTTCCCTAGCTCTGCTCCTAAGCTGTTGCTTGGATTGGAATGAGAAGAGACTACACCTTGGTGACCACTAAGAATAGGAGATTTCTTTCCTGAGGAAGAAACACTGGAAATACATGGTCGTAACTTGTAACTTTTTGGTAGTCCTCTAATAGGAGCTTTGAAGTGTAGCAGATATGTTAGAACATAAATCTAGCCAGAAGCCTCTAGCTGGAAGCTGTGCATTTTTGTATTTGCAGGTAGGAATCTCTGCTGCTTTAGGTTTAAAGTGGTGGTCTTTTTTCCCAAATTAGAAGGTAGAAGACACCTCTGGTGACGAAGAGTGGACAAGAGAACCGGTGCTTGCCAGGCATGTAATGAATGCAATTGCAGATAAATGGACATCAAGAAATGATAGTTGTCTGCAAAAGCTTAATGAAATGGCCTGTAATGAATCTCTGCCTTTTGCTGTGAGCATCCTGGAACTTAGGGGCTGGAGGGTTGGGTGGGAAAGAAGCTGACTTAAAATAATGGAGCCCTCCAAACCAAAGGAATTATACTCCAAACTCCATGGTAGCATTATGTGTGTGTGTGCAACCACTGAAAAAACAAGCAAAACCCCAGCAACTACTGTGGTTGTGTGCTAAACTTTTTTGCCAGATTCTATCAAAATATAGAAGATGAACAACTTCTGATGTCAAGAAGATTGTCCTGAGCAACTTTCTCAGATGTGCTTACTCATAGACGCGTTCTCACTCTGCTCTAATGCAAACTTTGAGGAAGAAAAACCCAGATTGCTTTGGATGAGCTGGCAGTTTTCACATAGCCTGGTGTCTGGCTGCTTCTCTGAAATTACCTCAGCTGTCAGAGTCTTGGGAACATTCATGTTTTCATCTGCAGCACTGGTATTTGTATGGGAAGTAGTATTTGTTCAGGAAAATGATGATGTGAAGGAAGGCTAAAGGAGTTCAGTAACCACCAACCGAAGGCACTTATCTGAGGCTACTTCCCAGCCTCTCCTTTAGGTTTCCTGCCACCTTCTTCTTCCTTTATGAGATTGCCTCCAGAGAAATGAACACTATCGTGGAGTTCTCTGGCATCCTACATGCTAATTCCTATAGACTCAGACTTGCAGTGCTTATGAAATGCACTCTGTTACATAGAATCACAGACTCTCAGACTGGTTTGGGTTGGAAGGGACCTTAAAGCTCATCCAGTTCCAACCCCTGCCACGGGCATGGACACCTTCCACTAGAGCAGGTTGCTCCAAGCCCCTGTGTCCAACCTGGCCTTGAACACTGTCAGGGATGGGGCAGCCACAGCTTCTCTGGGCACCCTGTGCCAGCGCCTCAGCACCCTCATGGGTAACAACTTCTTCCTTAGATCTAACCTGAACTTCCCTGTTTCAGTTTGAACCCATCACCCCTTGTCCTACCACTACAGTCCCTGATGAAGAGTCCCTCTCACTTACAGAACTGGCTATCTCTAAATCAGATCTAGCTAAAATCTGGATTCCTTATTTGAGAGATATTTATTCAATTCTAGATATTTGTTGTTGAACAGATTTCCTAATGGCACATCTGAGATTATAGCTATTGATGACAAGAGTGTTAACCTGTTTGGCTGTTTGGATAAAGATCTTGCAAGCACGTACGGACACTGTTAGTAGTGAACAAAACTACATTTCTGCTACAGATTGTTTTATTTGAGTTAATGCTGGGAATATTACACATCTCTGTGTGTGTATAATGTATAGATTTGCCAGACCCAAGCAGAGCTGCAGAATGCCCTGACAACACATTTCCAATGGTGCTCTTGCACTGCTGGAACAGTCTGAGTATGGACTTGGCTGGATGAGGTGGGGCTGACTCAGAGAGTTGCCTTCTGTTCTATTAGTCTTTAAAAGACATGGTATGTTTTCTGTGCATAAAGATACTGAATATTCATGTGTCTCCTTTCACACATCACAAAGTGTAAAAATACAGATAGGAAAAACAGTTTTGCCCTATTTCACAGATTTTTGGGTTAATTTCCTCAAAATACTAATTTTAATAGAAACAAATGGAAGGGGTGTTGGGTATGGAGCCAGTGTTGCCATCAGTGTGTTTCTGTGAAAGGGAAAAGAAAATTCATTGCCTGTCCAGCTAGACTTTAGAAACAGACTGTTTAACACAGCTGGTGGTGAGAGACTTCTTGACTTCTACCTGAATTGTACCTATTGTTCTAGCTCAGCTGTCAATGGCCTCATAGTTTTTAAATATATATAAGTCAATTACTGCAGCATGTTCTTCTGTGCTCTCATTGGGGTATCAATAGGAACCAGCAGGTTTGTGATAGGCTGTTAGAGCTGGTTTGGTTGGTTGCAGTTTGGATTTAGAGCATGAATGCATTTGTGTGGATTTATGGTGGGGTCCCCTCTGCATTACAGTGGGAGAACCTGTACTGCTTTTTCAGACCACTTAGGGGTTCCCTAAGGGAAGGCAGTTCCAGTCCATGTCCATGTGTCGATCTGTGGTAAATGCTCCATCCCTGGCAGTGTTCAAGGCCAGGTTGGACAGAGCCTTGAGCAACATGGTCTACTGTGAGGTGTCCCTGCCCATGGCAGGGGGTTGGAACTAGATCATCTTAAGGTCCTTTCTGACGCAAGTTAGTCTGTGATTCTGTGATATGCAGCTTTACACTGCTCTGAGAGGCAAGGAACAATGCTGCTTTTTGCAAAGGGATCTGTGGGAGAGATCATAAAGCTTGCACCACATGAAAGATCTGCCAGTCTTGAACTAGTCTTAATATCAGCCCAAATCATTCTTTATCTTTTGACATTAAAATAAAGAGTTCTTCCCACACCTTCCTTGAAGCATTCATGTATGGAAAAGTTGATGTATACTCAGACATTATGTTGGAAGGTTTTATGAAGTGGCATCAGATCTGTTTAGCTTGGTGATGTTTACCAACTCTGACCCTTAGTTTGACTTCTGGGGCAGTGCTGAGAGTTAAGTATGTCAACAGATGACTTGGTGACAGCAAGGTCTGCTCGACTCCTGCCTGCATAGTCCCTTATCAAAGCTGTCATGCAGCTTGGCTGATGGCAGAATCTATTCTAAGCGAGAAATGTCACTGAAATACAAACCACATCCCTTCTCTACCATTTATTTGTATGTCAGCTGCAATCGACTTGAAATTTTGTTTTCTGTTGTGATTTTTCTCCTTTATGCCTGAAAGCATGTGTTTTATAATAGAAAACAAACAAAAAAAACCCAAACCCAGACTCGTTCATAGGTAAGGGCTAATGCAGTGCTGATAGTAACATGAAGAGCTTGCTGCAATAAGATTGTTTTCTTTGCAATGAAAGTGCTTACAGGTGTTCTGTAATCCTGTGTATGCTGATATCTTCTATTTTTTGGCATGTTTTTCCTGCTATACTGCTTAAATATTTCATGTTTTAAGCTATCAAGGCAATTTGGTATCAGTGGGAGTGCCATTACATTTTGGTGCCATTAGTATTTTATTACCCCCTCCTCAGTGTGTTCTCAAGAACTTTGTTTGGAACACCTTGTAAAGATGTGAAAAGTGGTAATAATTTGTATTCCTTGTCTGATCTGTCTTTGGTGTCAGTGACACAACATTCATTAACAGGGTTAGTCAGGGACAAGTAATATATGGCACAAGCTGAACTTTGATGACATGAATACTTAAAGGCAGAGATTTCGGATGTGAATCTTATTTTAGGGTGGTAGTAATTAGTAGCAGGAAAATGAACTATTTCACACTAAAGTTGTCAAAGTTTTGATCAATGCTTGGTTTATTTCCCTTATCAGAGCTGCTTTGTCTGCAATAGGGAAGCTTGTTTTAGGATTACTGCTCTGGAGAATCCTTCAGCCAGGTTGTAAATAGATTGCTCAGAGTCATAAGGAAAGCAGGAGCCTCCTGAGCAGTTAAGGAGGTTTGCCAAGCTACCTTTCTCGTAGAGGTGTAGGTTCCTCAGTGTGAAACCATCTGTGTAATCAGCAATAAATGTTTTGGGGGTCTTAAATGTTTGCTGCAGGTCACATAATGTAAGAAACTCATAGTCACTCTTTCTGTTCAGTGCTCTTGCTGCTCCACATTTTACTTTTAAGTTAAAACCAGCAGCTCAGTAAGCCTAGCTAAAATGGGTTGGATCTTGTCTGGAGCCTTGGCATAGGTGGTGAATTTAGTCAGTCTTAAGGAAGACAGATGCTTCTTTGTGGGGAGAGAAAGATCATATGCGTACCGTGGTACCCTGGTGGTTTAATGTTGTTTAGAGGGCACTGGTGCTGCAGAGTGGAAAAGGAATTCTGTTTACTCTTATGCTACTAGCTGGATGGGTTCACCAATTCAGAGCACACACACTACTTGACAGAGCCAAGTTATCCAGGTAGAATAAAAATAAACAGCCTACGCAAAGTATGGTCCCTGCTTCCCTGAGCCATGGTTGGGGTGGAGGGGGTGGCAGCTGCTTTGGGAGGAAGGGAGGCTTCCCTCGCTCTCTTGCTGTCTGGTGTCTGCATTCTCAGCCATCACGAATGTTTTCTTTCTGCAGATGACACGACTGGTGCTGCCCGGCATGCTGGAAAGGTGAGTCACAGCAACACCATCCAGACAAAGTCATCATTATTTATAGGGGAGAATCCTTTCTTGAAAAATTCATTACTGTGACTAATCAGCCCCAGTCTCCATGTTTTAATGGCAGAGTAATGCTGGGTGAGTCACGCTGATGGTGCATGAATCATCAGACGGTGGAAGCCTTTTCCACTCGATTCCCTTTTTATTTTCCCTCTCCCTTCTCCACTGTTGTGGTGATTCCTTTTAGAACAGAATTAAAAAGCCCGTCTGACTCATCAGCACTAACTCAACAACCTGCTCTTCTGAGGGGGTGGTTACAGTTCCTGGGAATAACCTTCTTAAGGCTATTTCTCTAAGTCATTGTAAGGAAAATGGATGCAAAGAGTATGTTCTCATTATACAGTAGGAGGTATATTGAGGAAAGTCTGTGATCGTTTGGAGAAGTAGAATTGGAGGCCAGCTCTTTCAAATAACAGCTAATGCACACCACTGTCGCTACACAAGATGTGTACTGACTTCCTAGCGAGCTCCCAGGTGAATCTGAAAGGTGCACGATTCCACATAGTCCTTCCAGGCTGTTCATTAGCTGATGCTGGCTGTCCCAAGCTGTTTGCTGCAGAGGTCTTCACCTCTCCTATGGAGAAACACCGAGAGTTGGGCTTGTTCAGGCTGGAGAAGAGAAGCGTCCAGGGACACCTTAGAGCAGCTCCCAGTGCCTAAAGGAGTCAACAGGAAACCTGGAGAGGGAATTATTACAAGGGCATGTAAGGACAGGACAATGGGGAATGGCTTTAACCTGCCAGAGGGGAGATTTGGATTAGATAGTAGGAAAAAACCCCTTTATTGTGATGGTGGTGACACACTGGCACAGGGTGCCCAGAGAAGCTGTGGCTGCCCCATCCCTGGCAGTGTTCAAGGCCAGGTTGGACACAGGGGCTTGGAGCAACCTGCTCTAGTGGAAGGTGTCCCTGCCCATGGCAGGGGTTGGAACTGGATGAGCTTTAAGGTCCCTTCCAACATAAACCAGTCTGTGATTCTAAACCCAGCTTGCTGGTGGGTCAGGTCTGAGCTATGCTTGCAATACTGAAGAAAGGTGTATAGAACCATGCATGAAAGTCACCATAGTGTTGCTCCAAGTGGGTACTGTAGGAGAAGCACATAAATGGGGAAAAGCTGCAAATGAAAGATTAAGAAAAAAAAAAAAGGTATTTCTTGTATCATCCTGTTCTCTGGGAGTCTTCATTGCAGGTTTGGATTCAGTTATTCAAGTGTTGCATAGACGCAGAGCAAATGTTTCACGGCTAAACCAAAGTTTCTTTATGGATACAAACTGCCCAAGCTAGTGGCCAGTATGGGAGTCAGTGTCCAGCACATCAGGGTGATGATGAGCTCAGTTTTCTTAGTTAAAACAATCACGAGATAAGAATAAGTTCATTTCATGTAATGAAATTTGAATGAGAAAAGAAGACCCAAGATAGAGCTCTGGGATAGGGGTGAAATATTTCCCAGTAAAGCTGGGGTAGAGGATGGGGATTATAGTTTGGTGGTGGTAGCTGTGCAGGGTTTGTAAATAAAGTTACTTCTTGCCCATGTACTATTATTGATAGATAAATGGACCTGCCTTTTGTGAAACCACAGCCCTCTGAAGATGCCAGCATGACCAAAGCCATTCTGCTTTCAAAGGATTTAATGTATCAGGTTTTGGAACTTTGAAGCTCTATCAATTTCTTGCCTCATTTTCTTCTTTGTGTAAAGAAATGTCATAGTTATCCATTTGGCACAACTGATCTCTTCAGCTTCTCAGGACAGAATGATGTTTACTTTACTTTTGGAAGATCCTGTGTATGTTCTTCTGTTACATATAAACCCAGGTAAGATGATTTGAATGAAAGGCAGCAAACCAGGATCCTTCAAGGCTACCCTTGAGCACACTGCATCATGTTTCTTTTCACTTTTCCTAACTGTATGATTACCTCAGGAATCTCCAGAATAAATGTGCAAGAAGAAGCCTGCAAAGAAAAGGTTAATAGTGGTTAAAAAAACCTCAAACCCATCTTGAACTTGGTTCTTTGTGTGAGGAGCCACTTTAAATGACTGCTCCATTTGAATGAAGGTCTTGCTTTCTGTCCCAGGGCAAAATGTGTGGAAAAGCTTCCATCTTCTCTTTGGTTTTGTGATGTCAGTTGGTTTGCAGTGCACAGAAGCACTGTCTGCAGCTGCCAATTCCTGCATAGTCATAGCTCACAGGCCAGTAACACCACTAAGAGCCTGTAACCGCAGGAGGACATGGATGTCCACCGAATCCAAGGACATGAATGAATGGTGCTTGCACTCAGTTGCTCTTTGGGCCATCCATGAATTTCTCACACAGGGTAGTGGGTTAGGAAAAGGGGCTTCAGGCTCTAAGAATAAAACCAGACAAGGAATCCCATCATTATTCCTCAACTTGTTCAAGGAGAATATCATATCGAGTAGATAGATGTGACATAGCATGTTACACCAGCTTGCACCTAGTTAGTGTGTACTTTCATGTACTTGAATGTTGGGTTTGTGGCAAGATACTACAAGGCAAACACAGAAATAGAGCAGATTTTACATGCTTTGCATCCAGTCTACAAGGAGACAACACAAGTGCATCTTGGTGTGTCTTTTTATTTATAATAAACAGAGCAGCATTAGATGAATGCCACTTCTGGTAATGGCATTTAGATTCTCTGCTGTGGCTCCTCTCCTGTGCTCTGAACACTTAAAGTGACAATTTATAATCTGCAGCTTCCTATTACACTTAAATGAGCAGTTCCTCTGTAAATTTTCAGGCTTACTGTCTAAGGTGGGAGACTCAGAACTGCAAATTGAGGCTTGATATCTTTGGGAACAATATGAAAACCCTAACAACAACAAAAACCAGTTGACTGTTTCTAGACAAATATCAAACTATGGTATTTATTGCCAGGGAAGTAGCAAGTGCATAATTACATTACAGAGGAAGCTTGCTCTTTCCACTCAGTGTGCAGCTAGAGCAGGCGCTGGTTGCCACAGCAACAGGGAGATGGCTAAATATAGCCTCTGCAGTGCTGGACCACTTAAGGTAGAATGATGGGGAGGTGTGAGGGTGTGGGCCTGGCTCTCCTCACCTTCAACTTCTTTTGTCATTAACTGCACAGTTGAGTTGGATGGAGCCAACATTCCTTTTTGCCACACTGATGCTTTGTGTAATTCTTCAGATGATCCCTCAAAACATTTCTTCTGTGATTCCTCTAAGAAGCAAAACTGTAATTGGAGTAATTGAAAGTGTTCCCCTACAAGATGCTTCTCAGATTCCTTTTATCTGAAGGATTTAAGTTGTGAGCTTTTACGGCTACGCCTGTTTTCTTTATAAATAAGAAACTACAAACCACAGGATCCACAGTGGCATTAACTGCTCCAGACAGACCAATCCATGGAGCTTCTGCAAGGGGCTGCTGTTCATTTGTTGTGTTTCCAAGAGGATTTTCTTCACTGGGTTGGACCTCACTGCACCAAGGTGATGGTCACTGCCTCTGCTGGAAAGTTGCAGTCTAGCCAGATGCTGCTTTACAGCCTGAATGCCAACCTCTCCTCTAAAGTTTCAGTGTGTTTTGTAAGCATAAGGCTCATGTTTATCCATGTAAACCCTTAACCCTTTTTTGAATCCAGTTAAGTTTTGTGGCAAGTACTCCCATGGTCTGACTATGGGAAGAGCACTTCTTTTTATCACATCTAAATTCCACTCTTTCATTTAAATAAATGCCATCTTTCCTTTGTATTCTGAGAGGATAAATCTAGATCTTGATCTTTGTCATTCATTAGTCCGTATACTCTTATTATGACTGCTCTTAATCGTCTCTTGAACAGCTAAATTGAACCAATCTTTTCACCTCATTGATGTATAAGGGTTGTTTTTTATTTCTTCCTTTCCCCTTTCTTATGTCATCAGGTTCTTAATATTTCAGTCCTATATTTGGAAGGATAAAAGTGTTCTGTAGATTGTCATGTGGGATTTCAGTGGTGGTGGATCTGTCCCTGCCATTCCCACCACGCTCTTCTTTGGGTGGTTTTGATGACTGCTGCATGAAAGAGAGCTCCTTGCTCAGGTTTTCCAGGGAATGGATAGTTGAGGTTTATGATGAATTCATGTTATTTTCTTCAGGATGCATTGTTGGTTTGGTTAATACTGATTTTTCATCTGCCATTGTGTAGTCTGTTCACACACCAGTCTGAGCTCTTCAAAAAGTTCCTTACAAGATTCTCCAATCTGGTAATCTCTTAAAAACTGCACGAATACTCATTTCACTGCTAATCCCTATTTGAGCTCATGAATAAATATCACAGCACCAACTGCCTTGATATGAAAAACTTTTGACATCCATTGTTAACCTTTTGCTGTCATGAAAATTCATTATTAATGTGTGGGCTTATTTCCTCCATACTCCATAGTTTGATCCACGTTACTACTTTATTTCACCAACCAAACCTTGCAGGTGACTCCTGAAAAATACAAGCAGCTTTGGAAAAGGAGTTTGAAATCCTGAATGACTGAAATAATTCTTTTAGCCACCTCATTTCCAGAGGTGAATCAGTCACAGATTTAAGTCACACTTGTATCTTGGCTGAAGCCATGTTGATTTGACTCTATTGTCATGATTTTAAGAGTTGTACCATTTTGATTTGTAGTGGTCACTTAAATGGTTTATTTTTAAGATGGTTACCCAAATCATTGTGGCAGCAGCAGCATAGGGTATACCTAGATGAACAACTATGATGAGAAACTCATATGTGAATCTCTAGGAGTTGAACTACCTGCACGAATGCTCTCACTTTGCACTAAACATGCCATAATCAGTATGTTCAGGTAAATTGGCTTGAATTTTCTACAGGGTGAGAAGAAGCAGAGATGCATCTTTCACTGTGTTGGCTTGTCTGGTAGCACTTTCTAACAGCATGCTTGCCCTAATTTGCCTCAACCTCTTAAAACTGATTTGTCTTTCTACCTAGCAGTAAGTAGTATGTCTGGTTTTGGAGGTAAAACTAGGCTTAAACATGCTCAGAATCAGTTTGGGTTGGGAAGTCCACGAGTCTTACTTTGTCCTACTTGCACATGCTTTACATGTGCTTGGCACATAGGGCTCACACTGGTATCCTTAATGAAATGTTCTTGTGGAATACCTTCAGTGTTACTGTAATAAGCTGTAAACCAACTCTTCCTTTATGTAGTAATCCACTGAGTATCTTCCATACTATATTAAAACACCTCTGTCTTTGAACAGTAGGTTCAGATAGATCCTATTTTGAAGACCCATCATGAAGTAACATTTAGAAGATGAAAGGGATTCTCGTAGTACAAACCATACAACAAACTTGTGTTGCCATTTCTGCTAGTGTAGCCTGAGATTTAGAAGCTGCCTTTTGGACTTGTGCAGCTTCACTCAGTTGGTTTTGCATATCTTAGCCCAGTGTGTGTATGTGCATTATATATGTATGGAGCTTGATTCTCTTGCTGTGTTGACCTTAAATATAAATCGGTATGAATTGCTGATTTATACCAGTTGCTTGAATACTTCTAATTGTGCTTAAAGTCCTTTTAGTAAATCTCAGTTTAGGATTTGGTTGGGGTTTTAAAACAGATCTTAATCTCCACCCTAAAGGTTTTCTTTAGGCTTGCAGTAATTTTCTGAAACATAAGATATTTCCTTTATTTCATGATAATATCTTTTCACTGCCTTGCAGATCCAAAGGGGTAGTCCTGAACATCGCCTCTGCTGCTGGGATGTATCCAACTCCACTGCTGACTCTTTACTCCGCAACCAAGGTAAGTGCTCTTTTCCACACTGAAAGCAAGTGTCAAACATAAGCCAACACTGCAGGAATAAATGTTTTGATGTCCATCTAGTGGTGCTTTCATGAACTAAAAGTCAAGAGTTAACTTCTTCCAATAGCAGAAGCTGGAAGGATGAGAGAAAAATGAGTGCAAGGGCTTATTGGTGTGGAAATGACTATATTATGTATTTCATCTTGCATTCTACTTTTACATGGAAAGGATGCTAGTGTACCAAGCAAACTTAATGAGGTTGAGAAAGGACGTTGACTTTTTTGAATTTGAAACTTCTCTCTCCCCCTCCAATCTTACTGAAGATATGTATCTTCAATATGTGTGTATATGTATTTATATATGTATTTATTTAAGTAGGACTCTTCTGGTGCCTGTTGGAAGGAAATATTTGTTCTCTTTTCTTATTATTTGCCTTTAGTTTAACATTAAGAGGAAGGATAGAGCTCTAGGTCCTCACCATTACCAAGTAGTCAGCTTCCCTTGATCTGCTGACTATCCTGTTAACATAGTCCAGTATGTCATTTGATGTTCTTGCAGTGAGTGGATTGTTGGCTTACATTCTACCTGGCAGCCACTATAAATTCCAGGTTCTTTGCAGCAGGGCTGCTACTCAACCAAAATGAAGGTATGGTGTTATCCCACTCTATATGCAGAACTTTGCACTTCACTTTTTGCCAGTGGAGACATCTCAGGATGTTTAACTATAATCAGGTTAATCAGGGTCTCTCTGGATTGCAGCTCTGTCGTGTCAGCCATTCCATCTGATGTTGTCATCTGCAGAGTTGCTGAGGGTGTGCTCTGTGTCATCATCTAGGTCGCTGATAGGAGATGCTGAAGAATATGGGCCTCAGTATTGATCTGTAGGGTTCTCTGCTTGTTATCAGCCAGATGTCAAGCTATTAATCACAGCCCTTTGAGCCTGGTGGTCCAGCCAATTTTCAGTCTGGCCAGCAGCTCGTTGTTTCAGCATGTATCTGCTCGACTTCGAAATGAGGATGCTGCAGAAAATGGTGTCAATAGCTTTGCTGAAAGGAAAATCTCTCTCTGCACACACACATATATTTTATATACACTAAACATCTGTTTCCTTCATCCACAAAGCTTGTCCACTCCATTGTAGAAAGCAGTTTGCTGTTGATAAATCTGTGTTGACTGTTTCTGATGTATCTTCTTGTCCGTTATGTGCCTGAAAATGAATTTCAAGACGTGGGCTCCATGGTCCAACATGTTTCCACAAACTGAGTTAAAGCTGGTGGGATCAATCTTTTCTTTTCAAGGAGGGTATACTGGCCCTCTGCAGTTGTTGAAGATCTTCCCTGGTTTTTTAGACACCGTAGGGAGCAGACTTATATACACGTGGATCAGTTCTTTCAGCACTCTTGAATGAACCCATGGTGGCTTCATGTATTTGAATATATCCAGCTTCTCTAAGTAATCCCTAAATTGTTGCTGCCTCTGCCTATCACTTTCATTAAACAAAACTGGTGCACGCAGAGGCATGTAAGCAGGTTTTGGCTGCGCAAAGCAAGAGAAGTGTTGAATGAATACCTTAACCTTTTCCTTTTCTTTAGGTTGTGTCCCTTATGCCTCAACAAGCCCTCATTTCTCTGAAATTCCTCTTCAAACTAGTGTACCTTGCAGATAAACTACCCTTAATATCCTTTCTTAGTCTTTTCTTTCCAGTTTGGATTTTAGTCCTAAGTACACAATTAATGTTTTATGTTTCTATTTTGTTACTTCTTCTTTCTGTTTCTCATATGCTCATTTTTAGATTATTGAGGGGCTCCCTGCTTAGCCAAACACTGAAATTTCCAGTTGTCTTTCACAATAGGTTGGTTTGTTTTACCAGTTCATAGTACTATCCTAGATCTACCTTTCATGGTAAATTTATCTGCTCTGCTTTCTCTTTGTGTCCTTGGGACAGTTCTGTCTTTTTGCAGCTGGTCTTCTTACCATCCCTCCCCAAAGATACTTACAGGGGCTTCTAAAAGTCTTCCCCTGAAAGATGTGCAGTTAACACAGTAAAGACTAATGACTGAGACTAAAGAACTGATAAAACTAGATGCAAGAGACATTTACACTGGCATTAAAGCTATATGGCACCTCAGTTTTTTCAGGCACACTTAGTAATCACCTTAAATACCTCAAGGATTTCAGGGTCTAAGCAGAACCTTGACAGGATGAAGAAACCTTCAGTAGTGTCATTCATGTCAGAACAGACCTACATTTCCTCTAGACCTTTAGTAATGTCTTCATACTTCCCAAAAGGAATTGATGCACACTGTTTTATTCATACTAAAGGAGGGGATGTTTAAGTTCAGAAATCATGAAAGCCTGAATTAATTTTAGCTGATAGAAATAGCTGTTTCCTGAGAGCTCAGTTCTTTGTTTTAATACAAAAGGTCACTTTCATTGTGATGGCACCTTCAGCTTTATGGGATGAATTGAGCTGCTGATTTTAGTGATAATATGCTTTATACTGCTTTGGTTAGTCTTTTTTTCAATGAGAATCTCAAATATTTCTTCCTTTCCTCCTAAGAAACTCAATTACAGGTTAAGTAATCTGCTTATTCTCAGCGCTGCTCTTCTTCTACCACAGCAAGATTAGTAAGCATGAAAGTGACTCCCCTAATGTAGCTGTAGGAAGACTGTATCTGCAATGTCTAGGGTTTTTTTTAACTCATCTATATAGAGGGGATTTAAAGCATAGTATCCTTCAGGTGTAAGTCAATGGCTTTGGCTAATTATCAGGAACAGCCGCAGTCCAACTCTTTAACCTTCCCGTAGAGAATTCCCAATTTTACAATGAAATGAGACACTTTAAAAGGTATCATAGTCCTATTTTTTTAACTGATTTACCTATTTACCTATGGTAATCCTAATAAGAAGTGAAATACGATTACTTCCCCCCCATGTCTTTAGTATTTGGGTTTGTTACTGGATATCCAAAGAGAAGAGACCTTCTTGCATGCAGTGCTTATCTGCTTATTCAGGGAGTGTTTCCTTAGAGACAATTCTCAAGGCTGTTTTAAGTGAAAGGTTGTTGGGGGGGCTTGAACATCTGGAGGTAGAAAACCCAACTTGCCTTGAAATAAATTCTTCAAGAATTAAAACTCCAAAGCCTGTATACTGGACATAGCTTTCTCTTCTCATTTAAGCATTCCTTTAGTGCAAGCTCTTTGCAACCGGTAGAGGTGACAGTCCTTTTATATAGTCTTTCTGTATTTGAAACTTGAGTTTAGGACTTCATTCAAGTAGAAATTGATAGAAATTGAATGATCAAAGCACTTTGATTAACACAAAATGTTTTTTACTTACTTTTAATAGATTATTGATACACTCTGTGCAGTTATATATCTGGCAACTGTGTTCAGAGGCTGCAATGAACTACTCACATGTCTATACAAGTGTCTTATTGTTGCACTAGGATGGCTAGCTCAGTTGAATCGCTGCTGCTAGACCAGACTTTGAGTCTGGTTCATGTTGAGTACTGAATTTCATTAAGAACTTACACTTGAGGGAAAGGGAGAAGAAAAGAGCAGTTGGACAGAAGATGAGCTTTTCTTGGTTTAATAAGCACCTTTCTATAGCTTGTACATGCAACTTGAAGGTGAAGAATAAAAGGATCTATCTGCTACACAGCAAAATCTAGTTTTCTTTTGGATCTTGTGCATGCTCAGAAGAGTGCCTATAGAAAGAGCCCTGTAGCATAGGAGTATTTCTGTTGCTTCTTGTATAGCTGAGTTCAATGGGATGACCTTGATAGGAAAAACACTGGTCACTGCAAATTTAAGTGCTGGTTTCAGTTAGGACTTGTGTTAACCCGTTGGTGACCTGGTGACCAAAGGAAGACTGTAAAGCAGGTGCAGTACTCGAGCTTTGCTGTTTGTTTGCAAACTGGTCTGAAGAATCTGCTGCTGCTTTAGTATTTATTTGAGCTTCAAGCATGGGTAAGATAGTTTAGTTCCTTCAGCTGAAGGTACTCCGTTCATCCTACCTGGCTGTGTTGTTTTACTAAACCAAGAAACCATAATAGAACCTGATGTTTTGTCTCACTGGACTGCAGGAGGGAAAAGTGGGAAGGTGGTTTAGGAGCACTTAGGGAGGGTGAATCTGTGCTGGTTTGAGCTGCTGAGCAGCCTTGGGTTATTGGGGCAATACTTTCTCAACATGGTTATGAAGGCGGCTGTATCAGATGTGAGGGCATCTTGAAGGCAGGCACTGGCATCCACCTCTTAAGCCCTTCCACTTCTTTCTTTAAGCTTTTAGTCTTGTAATTTCTAAAGCTTCCAGAAATTTGGATGAGGAGATGGACTTCAGGGCTATGGAAAGGCATCACTATAGGGTAGCATTTCTTCAAAGTATAAAGGCAGAAGGCAAAGTATTTAAACACTGTTTTAAAAACCATGCACAAGAGAAACCTACTTAAATCACTCTTAAAACAAATAAAAGTCTAAGGAGGTGACAGAAGTAGTGAACATGCAAAGTCTGGTTTTCCTTTTTAAACTAGGCTTTATGTATTCCTTCTAAATGAAAAAGGAGGTAGGTTTGTTTAGACTGAGCCTTACTTCCGTGTAAGACTGTAAGCATAGGGTTGCTATTCAGATGGAGTTGCTCTAATATGCAGAGTTTCTTTGAAAACCTAAGGGTTTTCACTTTGAAAACTAAATAGTAATTCAAATGTGCTTCCAAAACCCTGCGAACTATAGTTTCTATTTAATGTGTAGCATGCTGCATGTTTCCCTTCTTTCTCTCTAGGCTTTTGTGGATTTCTTCTCCCGAGGCCTCGAGGCAGAATACAAGAGCAAGGGCATCATTGTGCAGGTGAGTAGAGTTTGTTTCATCTAAGTTTGGTTGCCACAGCAACATTGGTGTCTTGATAACAAAAGAGAATCAGCATATTCTCTTATTCATGAATGTGTGACACAGATTATGGATAAGGATTTCCTTTGATCCCATTAGCAGCTTGCTTAAGGTACTCTGAAACAACATCTTGAAGCAATAAAAAACATGTTGGGTTTTGAGCACAGTTTGGTTATGGGGTTGGGTTTTTTTAGCTAATCATGGTAATTGAACTTTTAAGTATCAAATGTCCAATAAAACTGTGTGCAACTATAGAATACTTCTTCATACAACTTCATCTACTGGAATACAGTTTATAGAGTGCATTTGTACAGAGATTTAACTGCTCGAAAGACTCGAATGGTGCCTGCAGTGGAAGCATAGCAGCAAGAACAGAGAAAAGCCTCAAAGACCCTTTGTATGTAATGGATTGATTTAATTTTCTTTACTACTGGGTTTCCACATTACTAATGTCTTGCTTTTTTCCTCCCATTTGTTTCCCTTCCATGGTTTTAATTATTTTTGATAGGCATAAAAGTGAGTCTCTTGCAGCTTTATGGGATTTTGCTTTAATATTACTTCTCACACACAAATGTAACTGGGGTTTCCAGCATTGCCTGCAAACACTGAGTTTTTCATTACTTATTACATCTCTTGCTCTCAAGAGCAATAGTCAGTTTGACCAAGGTGGTGTGTTACCTGTACTGTGTATCTCTTTTAAATTCAGTTAGGGATCCTCTTATGAACAGGATTAGTCTATGTCCATGCCTGTCATTCCCCTTTTCTGTATGGTGGATCTCAAAACCAGCTGGATTGGTTTGGAGCAACCTGCTCTAGTGGAAGGTGTCCCTGCCTGTGGCACGGGGTTGGAGCAAGATGGTCTTTAAGCTCCCTTCCAACACAATCCATTCTACGATCTGAACTCCAAAGGCCCTATGAGGAAATATGCACAAAGTTTTCTGCCTTATTTATGTAATCATTAAGTGTGAGAGCACAACTTTTCTTACTACCTAAAACCATAGAGACGTTGTTACCAACTTAAGGCTATGTTACCTTTTTGATGTGTTGGGTTTTTTTTCCTTTTAAGCATACTTAGCAAAACAAGAACTTTTACTAGGGTATGTCCTGCTGTTTAGTATCCAGATGTTTAGTATAATCATAGAATATTAGAATGGTTAGGTTTGGAAAGGACCTTAAGATCATCTAATTCCAACCCCCTGCCACAAGCAGGGTCACCTTCCACTAGAGCAGGTTGCTCCAAGCCCCTGTGTCCAAGCTGGCCTTGAACACTGCCAGGGATGGGGCAGCCACAGCTTCTCTGGGCACCGTGTGCCAGTGCCTCAGCACCCTCACAGGGAAGAGCTTCTTCCTTATATCCAACCTGAACTTCCTCAGTTTCAGTTTGAACCCATCACCTCTTGTCCTACCACTCCAGTCCCTGATGAAGAGTCCCTCTCTGGCATCCTCATAGGCCCCCTTCAGACACTGGAAGCTGCTCTGAGGTCTCCACGCAGCTTCTCTTCTCCAGGCTGAACAGCCCCAACTTTCTCAGCCTGTCTCCATATAATGTCCTGTCCCAGTTCCTGAGAGAGGATTGTGTCAAGAAAAAAGATGATTGCTGTGTGAGCTATTCCCAGGCTTTAATAGGAACCTCATTTAAACCTAGATTTATACCTTCTACTAAACATCTTAAGGGACGCAGTTTATTTTGGGGTCTGTTGGCATTGGAGAGGAAGGTAGCAAAGGTGATCCCTGAAAGCATTCTAACTACTGCGATAGACCTTCTCGAGGTAAGACTGAACATTAGTTTATGCTGATAGCAGATCATAACTTGCTGTAGAGCACCTAAAGCATAACTTTTCAGAGTGCTTGATGCTGTGCCCTACCAGCCTAGGATGTACCTTCAGCTAAACCAGTGGGCAGCAATGAAGGATGCTACAGAGGTACTCCCTGACCAGGTACAGGTTCAGCATACAGGGTGGTCTGTGTGTGCTCGAAGCTCTTGAAGTGAATTAAGCTGGAACAGCTTTTAGTGGTTTATGTCTCCTCGTTACTTTCTCTTCTCATGGGGCTTTCCACGTCATTCCCTGACTTCAGCCCCAAACTGTCCTGCAATGGGTCAGTTTTTACAATCCTGAAAATTTCTTACAGCTCTCTTTTCACTTTCACCCTTCTATATTACTTCTATCTCCCCAGTGTGTTTCCAACTGTATTACTTGCAGATTTAGCTTCATTATCAGACAGTTGTTCTTCTGATCTGTTTCGTGTACTGTAGTCACAGATTGCAACTGAGGCTGAAGGAGAAAGAAGTGTTCTTCCTGTGTGCATTTGTCTCCTTCTCCCCAAATTTTGTCTACATAGTACTGTCAGTTTAAAAGGAGAATGAAGAAGAAGGTACTGTTCATTTATGACTATGGAGTAGCTATTGAAACTGAAAAGGTAAATAACCCAGTAACCTGTGCTTGGCTAAAGGCCTTTAGCTGCCACAGGAATGTACATAATATGGGAAAGATTTTCTAGCTTTTGGGTATGGAAAAGCTAGAAAAAAGGTATTCATTTTTTTCATGTCTTCCATTTTTAACATTATGAGCAAATGAAGAATTAAATCTGGCTTTTCAGTTATATTTTCCTGTACAAATCTTAGAGGTTGTGGTAAGCTGTCTTTTTGTAACTCCCACATTGGCTAAGGGTGCTGAATTCCTGACAGCACTGCTTTTTTGCCCATAAATGTAGACAGGGAATTGCCATTCTGAGTTATGTGGGCCTGATGACCAATACCTGTCACAGCTTCAATTTGTTATGCTAATTTTATTGCAGTCCATGTCCTTGTTCCAGCCTAAGTCGCTGTAAACCACTAATGAATATTACAAGTACATTCCTGTGAAGACGAGCTGACGTATCTCCTTCAAGTGCTTGGGAAGACTGCATCCCCCTTGGTTCATCTCTGTGACCTTCAGAAGTGTGATACTTTTAATTCCACGCTTACACTTCCAGCTGAGATCACCATTCGAACCAGTAAACTTTTACCATTCCACTGTGTGAAAAACCTAACATAATGTAGTAGGATTTTAGCAATCTCTGGAGTTCAGCCTAAAGTATATCACTTTTGCTCAAGGGGATTGCCGCCTTTGTGGAAGCTTAGCTTAGGTTTGATAGTATATACTGCTTTTATTGCAGTTTTGCCATCTTTAGATTAAAAATATACTCCTTCTGGCTGACCAGCTTAAGTTTACAGAAGCAGCACAGTAATAGCATAGGTTAAAAATCTGTGTGTGCTTACATGGAGAGAAAGAGAGAGGCAAAAAGAAGAGGAATGGGAAAGAAGATGACAAGGACTTGTCTCAAGACTCTTTTAATAATTTCTCCCTGAAAGATTTCTGCACTTTCTTCTAAAGCTTTTGCATTTTGAATATGTCTAAAAAGACTGCTTAGTTCTTAACCCCTTTCTTCTACTCCCTTTTTTAAACTTCAGTTAGATATTGCCATTTCTCCACTATACCTCACTACTATGCCTAGCAAAAGTGTAACAGTAAAACCTTCCACTACCTGTTTTTTTCTGTCATATCCACTATATAAAATACCAGATCACAAAATCATGACAGTGTTCATTTGAAGGGATCTCTAGAAAGCTTTCTAGTCTAACCTCCTGCTCCTAGCAGTGGGATTGCTGCTAACACCAGGTCATGGGCTGGTTGTGGGTGACTTTATCCAGTCAAATATTGAAAACCTTCAAGGGCAGAGATGCTGTGGCCTCTCTGGGCAGCCTGTCTCAGTGCTGTGCTGCTCTCCTAGCAAAAGGCTTTCTCCCTAGTGTTCAAGCTGACAGCCCACAGCCAAAATTGAGAGGTTCGCCTCTTGTTTTTCTGTCTGGGACTGCCAAGAGAAGTTTGGCTCTCATCTTCATAACTGCCCTTGAAATAACTTTAGGCAGGTATTGGGTCACCACCAGCCTCCTTTTCACCACACTGAACAAGCCCAGCTCTCTCTCCAGGTATTCATAGAAGTGTGGTGTCACCAAATTAATGGCTAGTGGCATTGCCTTCCTTCCTCCAAAGCTTGTTAGCTTTCTATATAGGTCGGCTCTGGCTGCTGTAATTCTCACCCCTTTATGTCTCCCACCCTCCTTTTCCCCCACAAAGAAATGGAAAAAACTTCTTTGGAAACACCTGAGAGTTCGGTCTTTTTTACAAGTAACTAAAATAGGTGATAAAATGGTGTAAATGACATATTCTGACTTTGAGGGCTTATTTTCCTGTGTCTGTAGCATAATAAGCAGAGGCTTCTGTTCAGCACTTGAGATCTGACTTCTTGCACCCGTACAATGTGGAGGACCCAATTCTGAGTGCTGGCCTGGTTTAATAAGCATCAGAGGTGTAAGCAGTACTAAATGTTTTAAGGGAGCAAGAGACATTTTACTGACATAAGCTACTCTTGAGGCCTGTTTTGGAACTGGAGAAGCAGGCTCAGCATTCCCTGGATAAAGACAAGCAATTTTCTGTGCAGTTACTTGCCCAGGTAGCGTGGGTTATGTCTGCCTGAATGCAAAATGCTAAAAGGCTTTAGGCAGTTTGTTTTTAATCTGTCATGCCAGTTTTAGGTAGGATTCATGAATGTCTAAGCTCCTTGTGGGGAGGAAGAAGGGAAGGGAAAACTAACTTAGTAGATTTAACAAGTCTTTTCATAGCTGTTAAAATATGGCACAGTTCATAGGAAGCTTGTAAATGTAATGTCACTAAATACCTGTTTCTGTTTTCTGAAGAGCATTTGGGAGGGAAAAAGAAATGTTGGAGTGTAATCCTGTGTTTCTGTGTGGCTTGAAGTGTGTGGATCAATAGCTAACCAGTAGTGCTGCTGTGTGCTTGCTTTTTCAAGTATCCTCATGCACTATTGTTTGCCCCTTCATGCTATCCAGTGGCTTAACTGGGTAGTGCAGTTCACTTAAGTCTCTTCCTGAGCAGAGGAAGACAGAAAGTAAATCATAACTATGACCATCGTGTCACTGTGGGGATGTTGCACATATAATTTGGTGGTGAATAAGCAGCTTAGAACTATTTTCTAAAACACCAAACTAGAGATTCTGTTTAGAAATATAATCTGAGATACGGATGAAGTTCACATTCTGGAGCTGAAACTAGGTACCTGTGCTGTTAAGGTGATAGAAGAGTAATTTTCTTATCCAAGCATTTGTAGCTTTTGGTGACTTTAAAGGCAATGGTAACTGTCTACACTTCTGAAATTCAGGTCTCTGTGTGTTTCATCTCCATGTGAAAGTGGGCTCATGCAGTGTATTATTGAAATCCTATTTATAGAGAGAAGCACATGGTTTTAAGTTCTAAGGTGAGGGAAGGAGCAGACATACCAATGCTTTCTGTTTGTGGTGGTCAAATTCCTGTTGACATGTGCACAACTATGGCATGGATAAATGGTCAGTGAGACTTTATGTGCTCCTTTCCCCCCCCCGTGCTATGCTCCTCAGAGTATGATAGTAGATGTTTCTGAGGTCAAGCATGTGTGGTCGTTCTTCTTTAAGAGACTAACATGGGGAAGCAGGTTTCTGAGCTGTAACTTGCCCAAATATATTGAGTTTTGAGATAGTATTCTCATTTTGAGATCCATTAGTGTAGCAGAAGTGGATCCACACTGTAAAGGAACATGAATCACAGTGCTCGCTGCTGTGATGGGTGATAGTGACTGTGTATGCTGAATCACTAGTACAGCTACAGACAGTGTCTTAGGAGGTCATTGTGTTGGTAAGGTCCCAACCTTTCTAAACCTGTGAGATCTGGTGTGTTTAATATCTGATTAAGTGGCTATAGACCAGGGCTTTTTTGATTACTTTTTTTAGAGGCCTAGGTTAAGGACAAGTTGACAGCAATGCCAAAACCATAACTATGAGGACAGAGGGTTGCTTCCTAGTGTATAATTATATATTCATTTCCCTTCTCCAAGCTGGGGATAGGTGGAATGTGGTTTTGGATTCCCCAGGTCTACCTTGCCCCACCACTGTGGTACCAGTCCCCCTTTGTTAACAATACAGCCATGCCTCTTCCTCTTGCTTTTCCATTGTGCCAGGGCCACGTAGTTCTGAGACCCAGCATCACTTCTTCTGTTTCTTCCAAATCTTGCTACCCGTTAACTGTACTTCATTTCTTGATCCTTCCTTCTCTCCTTGAGGTCTTCCACTCTGGTACCAGTACCACCTCCGTCCTCTGAGCCCCTCTGTGGAGTTACAAGCTCAGTGTGCCAAGTCTCCTGGTGTTCCCTTTTCTCCTTCCTCCTGCATTCATGTTTCTCTCTGTATGGGTACCAACCTGGGGAGCTGTTACTCAAGTACAAAATCCTTGTGTTGTGTTCTGTGCCTCCTTCCCTAGCAAACACTGGGGGTTTACTGACAGAGAAGCAACACTACAGCATTTTCTGTTAAACAACTGGAATGAAGTTTTGTGCTTACAAAGCAAATTGTAAGAAAGGCTTTTTAACCATACACTTGCAAAAGTGGTTTTTCTAGGGCCCCAACTGAGGATGCTGGCTGGAAACAGGCCACGTTTCAAATATGACCTGGTGAAAAATGGTTTTGATATTGTACACTGTGATCTTAGAGCTGAAAAGAAGTCTGGCTCAAGCTGGAATTCAGTGTACAGGTTATCTAATTTCCAATGATTTTAGTTCCTTGATGTAAGTTAATCTGAAAGCATTCTTTGCTTAACATGATCTCTCCTATGTGCAGAGTGTTCTACCCTATTATGTGGCAACAAAAATGTCCAAAATCCGCAAGCCAACCTTTGACAAGCCCAGTCCTGAAACATACGTCAGAGCTGCCCTGGGCACGGTGGGCCTGCAGTCCCAGACCAACGGGTGCATACCCCATGCACTCATGGTAAGTCACCTTGGAAAGTGTTAGGACCTGGAATGTCCTTTGTTAACTGTTTGTTATGGAAGAGTAAGAATAATTTTGAATGTTAATCATTTGTGTTCTTTAACTTCTAATCATAACGGTAATGTTTGTGTGTGCTGGTAACTGTTACGATCTCACTTAGTACAGGCTATGGAAAGCTAAGACTTCTCCTCTCCCTTTTTTTCCTTTTAGGGATGGCTCTTCTCTTTTCTACCTGCATCTACTGTCATTAATATACTCATGAAAACAAACAAACAAATACGGGCTCGTTATTTGAAAAAGATGAAGGAGAATTAACTTGGAAGCATCTTGATCTCGGGAGCTTGGGATTCCTGCAGATTCCATACCCACTAGACTGAATGTTTTAAACATCTTCAATCGTAGGTGTACTTTCTAACAAGCAAACCAGTCTTGTTTTGAGGATACAGCTGAAACAAGACCGTTGGCTTCTAATATTGATTTAAAAATAGGCTTTATTTGTTTATAGATATCAAGGGGGGGAGTGCTTTGGACTAAAATAGCACTGTGCTTTAAGAAATACTCACATAGACTTGATCAGACATTGTGCTGTTGAGGAACAACTTGGTTGTATAGTGTCCATCACATCTGTGTATTGTGCGCATGGGTGAAGGGCAGAGAAGTTCTCACATGTTCCTGGATGGATGGGCAGGAATGAGAAGGGAGCTTATTTATTTAAAGAGGTAACTTTGCACTATGGACAGAGCGTAATGTTTTCCCAGCTCAGGGTTTGGGTACTTGCAGGGATTCTTCATTGTCAGCCAGCTTGTGGGGGGCTCCCTCGCTTACATGATCCAGTGTGGTTTTTGGTTATGAACTTGAGGGAAATGCGCCAAAAACCAAAATAAGTGTAATTGCTCATCTATAAATACACACATAAGGTAACGTTGCGAAAAGTATTTAAATTCTTGGTTCTTGGATATGGATTCTAACTTTTCAGTCATCTGTAATCTTCACAATTTGTAATAATAACGTTTTTAAAAGTTCAGTGCCTGCTCTTTGTAATAGGTGGTGATAACACAATGTAGATAAATGTCACAAGTTGTGTTACGTGCTGGTTTGCTATGCAAAAGTTTATGGGTACTTTAAATGCAGAGCTTGAAATGAGTTACTCTCCTTGTTAGCAATGACGGTTAAATTCTTTCTGAAGTATGTACCAGTCTGTCTTTTTGGTGAGGTCCTTTGAAATGTGAATCCTGACTATTTGGGACAGCTTTAAAAATGAGAACCAGTGAACTTCTTTAAATGTAGAACACTGATTTTAACTGATGTGCTTCATGGTTCTGTTCCAAAACGAGTGCTCCAGTGAGGCTGAAGTTACCCAACTCCAGGAGACAGGGATCAAAGTATATGAGGTCTGCACTGCTGTTGTCTCTATTTACCTACTCCTTGAATTTTGATCTTTAACATTCCTTTTAGAACCATAAAATGCACTGCAACTTACAAGGCAAATCCAATTGCAAACAGCTACCTATGTTTTGTGTGGTGCCTTCCTGTGGCTGAAGAGTGGGGGTTGTTTTCTGTCCTTTGAAGAGTCATTTCAAGCTCTGATTTTGAAGTCAAGTATGTTGTACTGAGACATGATTTGGGGCTAACATTTCTGTACATTGAAAAAAAAACCTGAATACCGATGCAATGGTGCTGATCAAATCTGAGATGCAGATCCTACCCCATAGTTTTCTTAATTATTTCTTTTTTTGGATCAGGGATTGGTGAAGTTGATGGTATTAGTTCTGTAAGAGCACATGGCTTGGTTTGCTCTGGATCTGTTGTGGAAGCATTGGACTAAACCTAAGTTTTTGACTTTGTAAAACAAATTAAATGGAATTAACTCTGAATCTTTACTGTGGTGTGTTTTTTACTTATAATGTTTGCCTGTACATTCAAATGCCTGATTGTTCTTTATCCTATATAATAATGTGAAAATAATGGTACTTCTACATGCTAAAACCAAAGCTTTTATTAATCTGTTTTCGTGGTTGTTATCTATTTTACCTTGATACTTTAAAATCACTGGAAAACAAAATAAACTGTTCATTAGAACTGTTCATTAAGCTATTAGTAAGAAATAGTTATTTCCAAATACAGTTTTCTGTTGGAGGTGTTTGGAAAGGTGTGTCTGAGGGGAATAGTGTGTCTCTCCCCACGCTGCAGGTTGGGTTCCCACTCGTGTTTCCCTTGAGGTCTTTTATTTTCCAAACTGCAGCAGGGAATCACTTTTTAACCTAAATTGCCTTGGCTTTGCTTTTGAACATCTGCTCATCTCTGCAATTGAGATAACGTGTATTCGTTGGCTTCCAATGTACTTTGAAATATCCTGGGCGTGTGATGGAAGACAGGATGGGTTACGGGTGGTACTATTGTCCCAAAATCAGGGTTCTTCCCCTGGTGTGCAGAGAACAGATTAACACATAGAATTGAGTTATTTATTTCATGTCTTGCAGAGACATGTGCTAGGTGGTAACTGCACAGAACCAGCACACCCTCGGTCTGCCCGCTTCTGTACACTTCAAACAGTGGAAATGAGTGTTTTCTGTGTATGTAACAGTCTTCATCTGCAGTCGTTGGCTTTTACATTCTCTTGTCTCTGAAGAGTAGACATTTATTTCCCTGTGCATGTTCCATGAGTCAGGGTCTCTGTGGGAGAGGGCCTCATCTTGGGGGTTATAAATATATGATTTTTGGTGTTATAAAGAGCCAAGGTCCAGAGAAGGGCCACAGAAATGGTCAGAGGGCTGGAGCACCTCTCCCGCGAGGAAAGGTTGGGGTTGTTCAGCCTGGAGAAGAGAAGGCTCCAGGGAGACCTTACTGTGGCCTTTCAGTGCTTAAAAGGGGCCCATAAGAAAGATGGGGAGAGGCATCTCGGCAGGGCTTGTTGCAATAGGTGAGGGGTGGTGGTTTTAAACTAAAAGGGGGGAGATTCAGGCTGGGCATGAGGAAGAAATTCTTTACAATGAGGGTGGTAAAACAAGGGCACAGGTTGCCCAGAGAGCTGGTGGATGCACCATCCCTGGAGACATTCAAGATCAGGCTGGATGTGGTCCTGGGCAACCTGATCTAGTTGAGGATGTCCCTGCTCATTGCAGAGGTGGGGTTGGACTTAGATGAGCTTTGAAGCTCCGTTCAACCCAAATCTGATTCTCTGACCTTACGTTTTGCTGAGCTTTGCAAAATTACTTCAGCCTCCCTAATCTTTCTGAAGTTAGTTGTTACTCTTCTGATCCAGATGGTCCATGTACCAGTCTTCTTCCTTTCCTTAAGGTCTGTGAGCTTTTAAGGGAACACTGTTTTCCTCACTACGTAAAATGAAGATAGAATCACAGAATGGTTTGGGTTGGAAAGGGACTTAAAGATGACCCAGTTCCAACCCCCTGCCC